AATCCCGTTCGCGGGGTCAAGGTGTACAGCTTTGCTGTACCGTGGGCTGATGATGCATTCGCCAATGTGCGGCGGCTGGCTGCGAACGGGAGCGATGCCATCTCGGGGGTTACGGGGGATGGGTGGATTACTTGTTGCTGGGCTGCGATTGATTTGGTTTACGAGAACCGTTGGTTAACGAGGAGGGGAAAGGTGTCCATCCGATGGTTTTTTTTTTTTGTTTTTTTTTTTTTTTGGAAAGAGAACGACTAGTGACGTTTATGGTGTATGAGAAAGCGAGGCCGTTTGGGGACGGGGGGCTCAATGGGCTAGCCTAGACTTTGAAGCTCATCGGGATCGGTGCACATCGGGGACCGGCGAGCTTACAATGTTCCGGGGCGGGGGGTCTCGGAGGCGGTGCTTGGCGGGACCGTCGGCATGTTGTGGGTGTTTGGAAAAAAGTACTGTGAGGGTGGGATGTGAGGTCATCTCGCGATGCCCGTTTGTTGTTGTCGGACGAATGGGTGAGAGGGAGGAGAGAGAGTTTCTGAAAATGTGGCGATGATTGTGCTGGTAAGTTGTAAAATCGGCGGTTCTCATCGCGGGGTAGAGGAGAGATTTCTCTTGGCCGGTGTTTGGCTGGGCGAAACAGAGTTGGTGATGTTCGTGTGGAGGGGAGGGGTTGAGAAGAGCGATGGATGGGTGGACGATGACGCAGGCGACAGCTGATGAGGAGGGGAGAAGAGTACCGTGGAACCCGCGAAGCTAGTAGTCGGGATAATAGAGAAGCAGGTTTTGGCGGGTTGTTTGACGGTTTCGTGTGGTTGCTATCAAAATGGCGGGATGATGGGATGAGGCTCGGCTCACTCGGGTTGCACTACCAGACCTCTGTGCTGCTGTGCATGAACTGAAGGGGAGGGAGGGAGGGGGGAAGAGTTGAAGTGACGTGCTTCAGAGTTTCGGCGTACCACACCACTGGGAAGGTGAGGAGTTAGGTAAGGTATGCTGAGTAGGATAGAGAAGTTGGTTGTGGTTAATTACGAACAACTTCAGATGAAGGCGAGGCGCAGGCGCGGGGAAAGCTGCCGGTGAGTGGGTGGGTTGTGGTGGCGGTGGTGGAACGGAAGTTCAAGGCAAGCCAAGGTACCTAGTTGGAGGTTCGTTTTCTCGATCCGATGTGATGTGTGAGTTGTCTGGCTGACAAGATCTTGGCAGGCTGTTTGAGCCAAGAGCGATGTAAACCGCGGCCAAAGAGGGAGAGAAGACGATGCTAGTGTGTAGTTCTCATGCGATAGTTAGGATAGGGATAGAAATCGGCCTTGGTCTCGATCGTGGTACGGTATAGGATGATGGGGTGTAGTTGAGATGATAATGTCACGAGACGCTCGGGAAAGAGCCAATATGAGGAGTTGTGGCTTTTGCGACGGATTCGAAGAAACCTTCTTTTCTTCTGCCTATGATCGACTCGAGGAGTTTACAATTCTATATTGGCCGTTTCTTGTCTCTTGGTATTATTTTGGTGGTGTTTCTTATTTGGTCCTTGCCTACCTAGTAGGTGGTCTAGTGCACCATTATATGTATCGTCGACAAGCATTGCTTCCAACGGTGACGGACAAGAAGAGCCCAACACGCCAAGCTCCTTGGCCCCGTTTCCAGTTGCCCTCGTCACTGACTCTCCCACTCTTCTTTTCCTATCTGTATGCAACTCGTCTGTTCTTTTCATCGTCGCAATCTCGATGAGTGACCATGAGAGTTGATCACCCGCCAAGCTTCTTCGTCACAGCCCGACAACATGGTAAAAGGTGGAGTGAACTCAGGGAGCGGGGAGGGGCAATTTATCTCGAGCGGCATCTCGAGACGAGACGTTGTCACTGCGAAAAGGTTTGTTTTCCTGGGGTATATTGAATTGATTGATGTTATTTCCCCGTGGCCCTACTATGTACTGCAAGCTGAAATCTTTGTTACGGCCAACCGTCAAGTAAATTGAGCGAAGCTTAACACCTTCCCCACGTCCATTGAGAGGCATCTTGGCATCGCCATAACGGCGAAGAAATTAATTTACTTCTCGCCTGCCGCACTAGCGGTTTCCTCTTTCGGCAACCCCAATAATCCCGAATCGATCGGACTGAAGAAAAGTCCAAGAAAAAGACAGAGAAAGTAAGTGATGGCTGTACGAATTACTTTGCGGTGAGCAGTCCCGCCAGAGTTTGAAGATTGTTGTGCCATTGTTTGGGCGAAAGAGAGGGAACCCGCTTGACCTAAGTGGTTCTTTGTTCAACGTTCTCTTTTGTCGTTGGCGATCCTCGTTTACCTGTTTACCGTGACGAACGTCGGTAATGCCCCTCCCTCTTTGTTCCTGCGTTCCACAGAGAACAAAGGCGTTGGCCGTTACTGGCGGCCACGCCTCCCACGAGTTCGCCATCGCCGGCCTCCACATTGGAAACGGTCATCTCCACCCCTAATCCACCCCAGCGGGCTGGCCTCTCCGAAGCGGTGGACGAGGTAAGAGAGAAGGCGAGGGTAAAAGAGAAAGAAAGAGAGAGATACCATGCGGTGCCACGCCATGCCCACGCCACGCAGTAATCTATTTTTGCGACGCTGGCGAGAACGGCGGGCCCGCGCAAGGTTCAAGCAGAAGATCCACCTGGCACCATGGGATCCTTGAGATGGGATGGGAAAATCATGGGATAGGAGCAGAGCAGAGCAGCACACCTACCACAGTACATACCTATTACTGTGTACGTAAGGTGGAAGCCCCCACAATCATCATGCACGTACACCCCTGCACCGGCACACAGCGCCCACCCACGTCGATCCGAAAGTCGATCCCCGCGCTCCGTCAGAATGACATATGATTGGTCTGTCGCGGGCAGACGGCCAGTGACAGATTGCTGAAAATAGCACCGTAGCCGCCCAGAGGGACGGGACAAGGTGACGCTAGAGCAGTGATGCAGCTGGGGGAAATTCTACGATTGGACGAAAGGTGTTGAAATCATGAATTCCACACCCAGAAGCCCAAGACGCAGGGCGGACAGACGGCTTTTTTTCTTTCTCTCTTTCTCTCTCTTGCAGGATAACTCCCGTCGTTCAAATGAACTGTTGTTCAGGGGGGAAATGCACGCGCTCGCAGCGGTGCATCTGATCTGGGCCGTATCTTGGGTCCGGAGAATAAGGCAGCCTTCGGAGTGGTTGATTCGCTCTTTCAATTCTGTAATATGATTTATTTCTGGAATTCTTACCTAATTTTTCGTCTTCATTTTCAGGTACGGGGACGCGGGTATGTCGTGTGATGGGAGTGCAGTAGCTTCCGTTTCTGCACTCAACTCATTTGCCTTTTCGATTCTTGATTTAGAACATGACTGAGAAAACCAGACTCCATCTCACCCAGTCCAGTCTTATGCCCAGGCAAAGGAAGAGTAAGGCAAGCTTACCGGGCGGCATGAAGTCGTACGCGTAGGTCGCCAGGTACTTCGAGCTTAGCTCACTTCACCCATCGGGGACAACGGCCGACAGCTCTCTCAACTTGAACGACCGGCCCTCACAATAATTAGTATACCTCGGGTTATGGTGCTAGGTCAAGGGTCGGGAACGCGTGGTATGGCTGGCGGCACGTTTGATGACGGGCTGAGATAGATGACAGGCGGGGGCCCTCTCGGTTGCTGTTTCCAGGTTTCCCCACCCCTCTTTCTTCTGCTTCTCTTTCGCAGATACCATGCCTCACTCGTGCGAGTGTCTCCCACATTCCTTGGCAGAAGAGCTCGTTGTCGCCTTCGCGTGGATGTCACCGTCCGGGTTCTAGGTAGGTACCTGTGTGGAGGGGGCGGGAAGGCCATGATGGAAAGGTGGTGCTGCGTGCATGGCGTGTAAACTAAAGACGAGAAAACGAGGAAGATCATGAAACAAATCCTCGCCCACCAATCCATAGCTCCCCTTTTACTGAGCACTCTCTCCGCCGCCGTCCGCCCTCCCCTTTGGGAACCCCTGCTTTTCTCCGTGGGTTGCCCCCTTGGGCTCTACCATGACCATGACCAAAAAGCCAGAGCCACGATACGCACGCGGCGCACCACGTCGTCCAACATTGTCATCTAGAAGAGACGGGTTTCATCTTTCTTTGGCGCTGAATGAGTAGCCCACGCACCTTACGTAGTCGACGGTAGAGTTTCCCTTGTCACATACGCCACGCCACGCCACGCCAAACCTTTTTTTATCCCACTTTTTCGATCTACCTCTTCCATGTCTCCCATCATCGTCACCGCCGTAGTATTGTAGTCATTCCATGTCCCTTTCTCACCGCATCTCTATGCGACGGGTACCTCGTGTGGTGGTCATTGTGGTGTGCATTTCCAAGGTACCTACCTCACCGGCCGGCATCTGCGGGGTGAGGGAAAGAGACGACCCATGTCCAGGGTACCTATTCGTAAGTGTCAGTGGGGTCAACGTCCGAGGTATCTCATCCACACCTCGTGTACGAAGTACATCGGCAGATAGCTGCTTTCCCCTTCGGGACTATAGGGACTTACACCAAAGGAGGAGGCGGCGGCCACACGCCCACCTCATTCTTCCTCTTTACCCATAAGGCTGTTTTGAGTTGCATCGCAGCAACAACGAGACGGGCTTACCAGGGGGGCTCCTCCTGCATACGAGTGTGCTCCTCTGCGTCTTGTTTCAGATTTTTTTTGGGTAAACCCTTTTAACCCTTTTTGGGGGGTGATACATGCACGTTTGCCAACAGGCCGGTTTTGTTGATTGATATAACATCATCCATCCTCCCCCTTCCATCCACGATGTAGAAAGTTGTTCAGCAGTAGTATTTTGGTGTTTGTGTTTTCTCAACATTCGCGCAAATCTAAGCCTGGCGCTCAGTGTCTCCTTATCACACTCTCTTCGAATAGTTCCTTTTTAAATTTGTAACTTTCATCGACCTGGCGTCACCTTTTTCGGCTTTCTACTACATTGTTCTCATCGACAACGGAAAACATCTCTAAAAAACCCACACAACAACGCAATGGATCTCAAGAGTCGCATCTCGTCGCCTCTGGAGGCCGGCACCTCCATTCTCGATGTCCAGCACTTGCCGCCCCATCTCAACGAGGCTCTCGAGTATGCCTCCAAGCGCCTCGCCAGAAAGGCCCTCCACGTCACCCTGGTCGTCGCCCGCCGCGAGTACCAGCTCCCCACCCTCCTCCCTTCCTCCGCCTCCTCTTCGGCCTGCTCGTCGGTCCTCTCCTCACCGACAATGTCGCCCGTCCCGGGCTCGGCATCCAGCACCTCCTCAGTCTCGTCGTCGTCCTCCCGCTTCAACTTCTCCACGAAATCGCCCGTCTCCTCCTTCAAGAAGCTCGTCCGCACAAACACCGGCTCCAGCATCTCTTCCGTCTCCTCCGTCTCATCGGCCGGCAGCAACGCCCCCGAGAGCTTCGTCTTCACGCCATCCTTCCTCATGGACACCAACGGCCCGAGACTGAGGTGGCCTCTGTCGCCCGGCATCCCCCTCTCGCCGCCGCCCATGACACCGTCGACGGCCTCTTCCACCATCACCGACGCCTCCGGCCCCATGTCGCCCAACCCCTTTGGCATCCGCCTCGTCCACGCCGACCTGCTCACCGACAAGCAAGAGAGGACTCTGCGCCAGACCATTGATCGGGCAGAGAGGAAGTTCCGCATTGGGTACGCTCCTTTCCTCTAACACCGAACCCCCTTCCTACAGAGCACCCACTAACACATTCTTCCCTGCAGAACCGAATGGCTTCCCCCGGTAGTAGACGGCTCCGCCTGCGGCCTAACAAGCAGCCTCATCCGCCGCTCCATTGTCCAAAACGAAGTCCTCTTCGCCTCAGAAGGCCTCACCCTCGTCTCCCTCGATCGCCTCTACACATTCAAGGCCGCCCTCTCAAGCTACTCCCGCACGAACGCCCCTCTCCGTCTCGAAGACGCCGTCGACGAGCTCCGCCGTCTCGTCCTCTCCCGCGCCGGCAACAAGGTCGCCAAGGCAGACATCCTCCGCTCCTACGACTGGCTCAGCGTCACCGACGTCGCGCTCGCGGACGTCGACAAGATGTACCGCAGGGCCTACGGCGGCCCGGATAGGGTAGGCGCCATCGAGGGTGTTGGCGCTGCGGCGCAGGTGGCGAGGACGGTGAGGGAACTCGAGCGCGAGGTTGACGAGACGCTGGCTGGCACGGTAGCCGCAACAGACGACTTCATCCGCATCGCCAAACCGCCTTCCCCGCCAAAGGGCCCCGTCCTGAAGCTGCAGACAAACTTTGACGTCAGGAACATGGTGGCTGCGCCAGTGGAGGTCGCAGAGGAGGACGAGGACCTCACGGCCCGGCCGGAGCGTCAGCCGCCCGTGTCCATCTGGAGCCCCGTCTCCATCGCCGAGGTCCTGCACGAGGACCGTCGCAGCCAGTCGGGTCCGATGACGCCCAACGGCTACGACGATATCTCGCCCATCACCCGCGGCGAGTGGGGGTTCCTCATGGGACCTGCCGGTGTGGGTGGCGGTCGCACTGCCCCTGTCATGACTTGCTGAGCGGTGATTTGTTCATTTTGTTGCTGCGTTTGAACTATGTGAAGAAGATGTAGGAGCGGTTTGGTGCATTCTTCTGTGCGTGTGTAAGATAGCTTTTTTTCCCTTTCAAGTGTTACGACCTTCACGAGTACATTCTTCTTCTTCTGGGGATACCAGGTCAGGGCAATGCCAGACATCATGTACATTACCTGCATTCAAATGGCAAAAAGGGCAAAAGCCCCTAAAATTCAGACAAGAACACAAACATTCCTCATCATTAAGATCTCTCATTATTTCGGGTATCATACTTTGTGTCTCTTCTCTCTACCATCCGTACCGACTCGACGCCTCCTTTCTGTTGCTCTTCCCCTTGGCGAAGCTGTCCTCGAGAGCCTCGCGCTGATTCTGCACCTGGTTGACGAGCTGCTGCAGGCTGTGCTTGCCCGGCGCGATGGCCCGCACGGGGTTGTGGATCTGCTGCTGGCCCGCGGCGCGGATCTCCTCGTTGTGCCTGTACTCCTGGTCCGTGTTGAAGTTGATGACCCTCGACGCCGTCTGTGGCGCGGCGCCGACGTTGCCGCCCTTTTGGCGGCCGAAGAGCTCGCGCCTGGCTGCCGCTGAGAGGTTGAGGTCGTTGGCGATGGTGTCGAGAGAGTCTGACGCGTTGGGCGCCGTCGTCGGGGCCGTGAAATGTGCTTGTGCTGCATAGTCTGCGTAGCCATTGTCCGCTGCTGCCGGCTGTTCTGTTTCGAAGAGAGGCTCGTATGTGCCGCTGGTTCCTGACGCAGCGGTTTCTGTCGATGTCTCTTCAGGCTCGATGGAGAACAGGGAGACCTTCTTTGGCGCTGGTGCGGGTGCTGGTGCAGGTGCCGCCTCCGGCTGTAGAGCCACAGTCGATGCGGGCTTTGGCGTCGTAGCTCCTGGTGGAATGGAGTTCACCGTCTTCTTCTTTGGCTTCCTGGCCACGGAGAGAGGCTTGAACATCATCGGCTTTCCCACCAGCTTGACCTCGTCCGCAGGCTTCATCCCCTCTGGTATCGATGGTTGCGCTTGGGCTTTGGGCGGGGGCAGACTGAGCCCGCCGGCCCCGGAGCCTGGCAATCCATCCGTGTTTGATCCTCCTATTTCTCTGCTGAATCCAGGTTCGGCGCCTGTCTTTAGTTGGAACGCCGGCCGCGACGAGCTGCCCCCGCTGCCGCTGCTTTGCGCCGAAGCAGCGGCCTTTGCGGCAGCGTTCTTGGGAGCTGGGAGGAAAGAGTTGAAGCCGCTGAATCGACCACCGCCGTTTCCTGTCCGCGCGCGCTTCGCTGGAGGTTCGTCGTTCGGGAGGGAGCCCTTCGAGGCTTCGGGTTGTGTCGATGGCAGACTGACGACGATCTTGCCTGGGTTCGACCGGTCGACGACTTTTTGGAATGGCTTCTTGCCGGTGGCAGTAGTCGTTGGCTTAGAGACGGTTGGCTTGACAGGTGCCTCGTCCTCTGATCCTGATGATTCCGAATAGTCTACCAGGCCCATCTTTGCTAAAGTCTAAGTCGTTTCGGTGGATATGGATTAGAGCCGGAAAATGTGTCGATGGCAAAGTGAAGTGCTACAAGTACAGGTTAACAGGGTGCACCAATGCGAGGCTGGTCGCCTAGTCCAGGGCCGTGCGTCATTGTGGTGCACGAGCCACATCTTCAACACTGCTGTTTCACAAGGCTGAGGGAGGTACGACCGCATCTCGCAGCTACCCCTCGGCGGCCAGTTGTTTCCTTCTCCTCACACTTTCCACCAAGCTTCCTTTGCCATTCTGTGAGCTGAGCTTGCAATTATGTTCTTTTCCCGATCGCGGGCGTGGCTTCTTTCGATCTGACAGCCCTTGGGATGATCTGTTACTGACCATTTCCTTTCATTTCCCGTTGACCGGTAGCTGCCCATCATGTCGGTCATTCAGAACGAAGAGTACGTGGGCATTGCTTTCTTTAAGAGAAATACTTTACTGATTACTTTCTAACAGGCTAGTCGCGTATCAGCTACGCTGCGGCTACCTCACTGAGATCGCCGATGGAGTAGGAGAGCGACTGATCACCCTTAATGAGGGGTTCATGAACTCCTCAGCTTTCAAGGCGGTCGCATGGCAAGCCAACCCCGACCTCGTCAAGCGATGTTACTCCCCTCCAATTCCAACCGCGATTGCCTCCGAATATTTCCAAGCCCCTAGACAGGCTGGAGTGACCCTTGAAGATGAGCCCGACGAAGCTGGAATGTTGACCGGAGGAGGCACCGATACGCTTGGCCCCGGTCTTGCTACAAGAAGAAGGAGGCGGCGGGAGAACCTTGAAGATGACGATAGTAGCGATCTGAGCGATGAGAGTGATGACGATGACGCCGGCCAGCGAGCGGCCCAGCAGATCAAGTTCGCCAAGATGCCCGTTCGATCGAGGGCCGGCTCCAGTCCGATTCAGTCATCGCAAATCAAGCAATCCCCAGCCATGTCTCCTCGCGCAGCCCCCGGCGCACGTCGAGGCTCGCAATCTGCGTTGGAAGTCGTCAAGGAAAGAGCACGGAGGGATACAGTGACCAGCAGCGAGGTATCATCCGAGAACGAGTTTGACGCGTCCGGGTTCCACAAGCAGCGAGAGGCTGCCAGAGCTGCGGCCAAGTCGGTGAAGCTTCAGGCTAAGATTCTGGAGGAACCTAGTCTTGGGATCAAGCGCGCTGGCACGCAGTTGCTACCAGAGGAGGAAGAGGATGATTCCGACGGATCAGATATGTCTGGCGCCTACATCGAAAGTATCGACTCGGCCTCTATTCTGGATGCCGTTGAGAACCCGGAGCCTCCCCCGCACAAGCAAGTCGTTGGAACACCTCCCCGAGAGTTCACGCGAACCTCTACTATTCGAAAGTCGCAAGCGCCACCTCGGATCTTGCAGGCTCTACCACCACCTCGTCCCATGAGCACAATTCGGCCCATGAGCATGATTCAACCTAAGAGTCTGCTATCTGCCGCTCTCAGGGCTCGGAAGACAAAGCCGAAGGTTCCTTTTGAGGGATTTGCGGCACTTTCGGGCCAGGGCGAGAACAATCCCATTGCTGTCCGCATCTACGCTGCCTTCTCTGAAAGCCCTACGAAACCGTTTGAGGTCCCCATCAGACGCATGGTGCATCATGGCGAGGGTGGTGATCGCCCCGTCACTGTGGCAGATCTCATTGGCCTGGCACTCTGGAGATACAACGAGGAAAAACGACAGCCACCTATACCTGCCGATAAAGCCAACATCAACTGGTTCACGCTGAGAATGGTGGAAGAGGACGGAGAGGTCGATGACGACTTCCCGCCCTTTGAGCGCAACAAGGCCTTGACGTCTTTCACTACAGCAAACAACCGAGCTGCCGGAAGAATGCGAGCCAACTCCAAGACTTATGATAACTTTGGATTGGTCCAAGCGAGTCAATCCGAGTACGCCGAAAACCAGAGCATCACTCCACAAGAGGAAGAAGAGCCGGCCGAGGAAGTCGATGAGGACTTGACTCCGCGCAACACTCCGCAGCCGAATCTCAACTCGTTCCTTCCCGTCGCCACAGAGCCTCGCCCGAACCCCGTCACGAATACTACCTATCGTCAACAGCATAGTATGTTCGCCGACGCACCTCAGGCGCCAGCCGCGGCGCCCAACACGAGCCGGGGTCAACAGAAGCTTTTGCGCGTACATCTCCACTCGACCGATGTGGCTCCCGGCCAGCTGGTCACGCTAGACACCACGACGGAGACGTACATGGCCGAGGTGCTGGACATGGTCTGCCGCAAGAGACAACTGGACAAGGCCAATCATGTCCTCAAGATGCCTGGCGGCGGCCCCGTCATCTTGCTTGACACCAAGGTCGCGGCAATCGGCAGCTTGTCGGATCTGGAATTGCATCGACGCCGTTTCGCTACAGACGGCCCACTCGCCATGACTGGATCCCCTGGAAGTGCTTCGCCAAAGCTTCTCCCCTTTGTGGGCGATCAGCCTGGCCGCAAGTCCAAGAAGCCGCATATCATGGGAAGTCACCCGCTGGCTCAAGAGGCCATCAAGCAGGCAGAGCTTACCAGTGCATATCACAAGGCTTGGGTCGTATGGCGTTTGCGTACCGTCCGGATGATAACACAGTCCGAAAAGCGATTCGAAATCGATGGAGAGTACGTGCACATCAAACCCACCACAAGAGATTCCAAAACGACCACGGCGCACATTTCTCAAGTAATTGGATGCAAGGTGTCTAGCAAGCACCCGAACCAATTCAAGGTGAGTTGGCACCCATATTGCCAGGCGGTCTGCCGCACGATGATCAGAAGCTGACTAGGGACTTCAATAGCTGTTTATCTACCGGGACACCGAGAGTAAGCGCTACGACTTCGAAGCCAAATCGGTGGAAGAAGCGCATGAGATCGTCAACGAACTTAAGAAGGGAGTTGCACAGGTTATGGGCTGAGCACCTTGATCACACTTCGCATGATCTGACGAATACGGGGCTGCATCACGTCTGAGCTGTCTTGTTTCCGCCACAACGCTACGCCACGTATACACCGCCACACACACCAACTGTTGAGTGACGTTGCGGAAGAAGCGGCGTCGAACATTTGGATGGGCTGAATGAAGATCCACTCCAATTGCTGACTAGGACGGGCATCGGTTGGTCGGGATGAATCCGCCCTCTGTGCCGTATGCCGGACACGGTGATTACGCGTCACCGCCATTGTGGGGTGGGTGGCCACTCTCTCACTGCTTAAGGTGTTCTAGCAGGGAGAACTTGCTGTCGCTGCGGACTCTTCGCCTTCCTCACAATTGGGGAACGAGAATTATGTAATATGTACCACGGCCGGAGGAACCAGAGAGACAAACAGGATTGGGCCCCCTTGGGGTAGGAAATGTGGAAAGGGATTGAGGAAATGGGGATGGTCTCTTTCTGGGTGTGGGGTACATGTCCAATTAAGGTTCGCATCCTGGCTTCTGCGTCATGCAGATCAATACGATTGGAGCCGCGGGCCGGGATGCTTGGCG